GAGGGAAGGGGGGGGGAACTGCTAACACACCGATTAGGGAAATGCCGTTGTGGTGGTGGTGGTGGTGGTGGTGCATTAGTGCCTCAGGGCGGCAGGCGTGGCGACTACCAGGAGGATTTCAACGACATCCAGGATATCCATCCATCCAACCATCCATCCACCCATACATACATACATACATCCAGGCGGCCAGGGAATGCTGTCAGGAAGAAGCAGGTCAATAGAAAGGGTTTATGGCACTCCAGTGAGTGTGTTTTCGGGGTGTCGGGGTGTTGGCCGCAAAGGAGGACCTTATCCCGCAGCCCGTACACAGAACACATGCACGCGCGTACGTACCCCCCGCATCTCCATCTCCCTCCTCAACACCACCCTCACCCCACCCCACCAGCTCGCCCCCTCCCCACCTGCGCCACGGAGCGGTACCTCAGGTCCAGTTTGAACAGGCGGTGCTGCATGTGGCCCATGTTCCTGGCGGCCGTGAGGGTCCGCGGGTGGCTGCCCCCCAGCACCACCCGGAACGTCTCCACCGCCCCCGCCAGCAGCCTGAGGGCCAGGTGGGTCTTGCCCAGTCGGTCCAGGCAGCAGGCCAGGTTGTGGTGGGCCAGGGCGGTGTCCACGTGGTGCGACCCCATGTCGGGGTGCTGCTCGCGGAGGACCTTGGCCTGGGGGGGGGCGAGGAGGGAGGGGCGAGGAGGGAAGGCGAAGGAGAAGACCCGGACAAGGGCGGGGGAGAGGGGGTGAGGGGATGGGGTATTGCAGGAAGGCGCAGGAGGAGATCCCGGCAAAATGATTGGTAGGTGAAGAGGGTGCGCGGAAAAGGGGGAGGAGGAGCCCACATGGAGCTGAGAGAGGCAGATCAGGTGTGTAGGTGGGTGGGGTGCCTGCGGTGTGCTTGTGGTGTGGTGGTGGGCCCCGGACTAATTTGCAAGTCCCCTCTTCCCGCTCTTTCCCGTCCCCCCTTCAAACCCCCAGCACGGACATCGCAACAGCTTAGAACCACGGTTGACCCCGCCACACTCGCACCCTCCCTCCCCCCCCACACACACACTCCTCACATGCACCAGCCTCTCAAACGCGTCCTGCAGTCGCCCCATGTGGTACAGCAGGTGACCCCGGCAGCCGTGAAGCAGGGGCTCGGCGGGGTGACCCTGGGGGAGACGGCTGAGGTGCTGCTCGGCGGTGTCGTACAGCAGCAAGGCCGAGTTGTCCCGTCCGCAGCTCATGAGCACACTTGCACGTACCAGACACAAGTAGCTGTGCCGGGGGCGGGGGGGGGGCGGGGGGGGGAGCAGGTTGCGGCAGGGGGAGTGGCGGCGTTGGTGATGATGACTGCAGGCTGGCAATACCGGGTAATGGTGGTGGTGATGGTGGGGGCCCCCTCCCCGTCCTCCTCCCACTTCCGAAGCGAGGGGCATCTCATGTCACGGCCTACGGTCTTGCATCACCGCATGCGTCCCTTCCCGTCTGTACGACACCCTAGACCCACACACTACCCCTCCCCCTACACACACCCCAGGGGCCCCCGAGGGGGGGCACTCACATCTCCTGTTCAGGGGTCAGCGTCAGGCTCGCACCCAGCGGCAGGTGGCCGCCACCCGACATGGCCGCCCGCCACGCCGCCGCCGCCTTGTCGTACTCCGACAGCGCCGCCGGGCAGTCCCCCCTGTTGTGCAGCACCGCCGCCCTGGCCAGCATCCGAGCTATTTGGTCCGGAACCGGGGGCGGAGGAACCACCAGATCCTGATACACACACGTACATACATACATAGACACATAGACACACGCCCAGGACAGAGTGGGATCGAGGGTAGGGCTTGGGAAGGGGCATCTGGGGCGCAACAGTACAACAGGCGGGGGAAAGAGGAGAAACAGCGGTTTGTACCCATATGCCCTGCCGTACGCGCTGCTCATACCTGCAGCAGTACGGGTGCGTAATCGCTGGACGAGAGGTACGACCAGTCGGGCACGTGTTCCCCCGGTTCCGGAGCGGCTGCCTCGAAGCGCAGTGACCACCACTGGGCGTAGGGGTTCTCCACGGCCCCCGCACCCCGGGCGGCGGCTGCAGCGGCTGCGGCTGCACTCTCCATGCCCCCCATGTTGGTGGCCTTGGTCCTGAGAGTTGGGGGGTGGGGGGAAGGGAAGTAGGGGAGAAAGGAGAGGGGGACAAGGCGGGAGGGGCTCGGACAGAGCAAATGTGCACATGTGTGTCCGTATGTTTGTATGTCCCTGAGAGGGTCAAGATATGGACAGGACCGGGGCTCATGCAGCCACCATGGGGGTCCCCAGCCCCCCCCGCCCAGCCCCCCCCCCCGGCCCCTCTCCTCCGAGGCCAGGGACATGTGCAACAGCTGAATCGGGCGGGACATGTACGTACATACATACATACATACGTACATATATACACACACAGGTCAGGTCAGGTCCCATGGCCCCCCAGGCCCCCCGGCCCCCCTCCCCCTACCTCGCCCGCTTCAGGGCACACAGCTGCGAGAAGAACGTCTCCAGCATGTCTTCCACCGTCATGGCCTGCTCCTTGTAGCGGGGGTGGTGGTAGATGGTCATGGCGGTCAGGCACACGGCGTCCACGAACTGGGGGTAGGCCATGTTCTGATGGGGGGGAGGAGGGAGAGGGGGAGGGAGGGGGAGGCAAAGCAAGGAAGGTGGTGAGGCGGTACAGGGAGGGAGGGGGCAGGTGATAAGTAAGCCACTACAACGTGGAGACCGACCCAGCTGGCGCCCCAGCAGCTGTACGCGTGGGGCTCCTCCTCCTTCCTTCACGCCCCCCCGCCCCCCCCCGACCCCCGACCCCCAGCCCAACCCCTTTGATCTACCCGGATGTAGCTCTCCACTCCGTCGATGAAGTTGACCCTCCGGAAGATCTCCTCGAGACCGGCCGGCTGTATGAGTGCGGGGATGATCTGAGCGGTTCGGGGGCAGGGGAGGGAGGGAGGTGGTCTGGGTTGCGGTGGGGAGGTACGGCATGGTACGGCAAGGCTGGCTAGGGCAGGAGAAGGGTGGTGGAGGTAAGGTGGCTGAAGGGGGGCTCCCAGGCCCCCATCCGGGCTCCCCCCCTTCCCGCCACCCCCCAGCCCCCACACTGCCACACATCCGGCGGCTCCCACCTCGGAGGGCTACCTACGTAAGGGGGTGGGGGCCCGGGGGGTAGCACTGCGGATGGAGCACCGCCCTCAAAACCCTTTCCCCCTCCCCCCTCACACGCACGCACACCTTGCGGTCCTGGCACAGCTGCAGGAACTGCACGAAGGACATGGTGATGCGGTTGAAGCTGCTCCGGCCCCCGTCGGGGCTGTCTGAGCCGCTGCCCTGGCGGCTGCTGCTGGCGGACTTGCCACCCGGGGACCTGGCCCGGGGACCTGGAGCCGGGGAGGGGGGGGAGGAGGTGTGTAGGGAGGGGGGGGAGGAGGTGTTTAGGGAGGGGTTGGAGGAGGTGTTTAGGGAGGGAAGAGAGAGGGAGGAAAGGGATGGAGCGAGAGGGGAAGGCCAACGGGGTTTGGGTTGGGGTGAGTTGGGCGGTGATAGGCCAGCGCACACATACATACGCACATACATACTTACATACGCACATACATACATGCACACAAGCAGGCGTAACCGTGGCCCATAAGGCGCACAGTTGCGGTTGTAGTTGCAGTTACGGGTGCGTGTGTGCGTCTGTGTGTGTATGTGTGATCTCACTCTTTGCCGTACTAGGTCTTGAGGGGCTGTTGGACCTGGCTCTGGAGAGCGACCTGCCCCGACTGCGGCCCGAGGTGGCCGGGCGGAGGGAGCCGGGGGGCCGACCGGTGGTCTGCTTGGACTCGTCCTTGCCGTAGATCTGTGAAGTACGAATGTGTAGTACAGGGAGGTGTTGTACATGGAGAAGGCAAAAAGGCAGGAAGCAACGGGGGCCCAAAAGTCACGTGTGGCCGGGCACGTTGCGTTACGGTGTGTCTGTGTGTATGTCTGAGTGTGACAGGGCTGTTTGCGGAGCCAGTATTCGGGGGAGATAAGAGGTGATGGGGAGGTGCGTGATGGTGATGTGGCAGTGGAAATGGCAGTGGCAGTAGCCGCGGTGTTTACCCGGAGAGGGGGAGCTTGCACAATAGTCCCACCCTCCCCCTCTCCCCTCCCCTTCTCCCCCTGCTACCCTGCTAGACCTCCGCGCTTAGCTACCCAACGGCCCTTACCTGGGGCGGCTGTTCCCTCCTCCCCTCCTCCTCTACCCCCATCCCCACCCCCACCTCCCCACCTCCCCACCCACCCTGAACAGCGCCTTGAGTTGCGGCTCCCAGGCCAATACCAGCGACATGATGGAGGGTCCCATCATCTCCTCCAGATACCTACATGCATACATAGAGGAAGGAAGGAAGGGGGAAGGGGGGATGACAGCAAGAAGCAGCACCTTCATGGTGCCTTTGTAACAATAACCACCACCACCACCACCGGGGGGGAGGGGGGGAGAGGGGGAATCCCAAACCCCAACAGAGATTAACGCCGTACACAGAATCGGCGGAATTAGTACTGCGGATGGAGGGCGGGGAAAGCGTAGACTTCTCGTTGCGAGAAGGCGGGTTCTTGGACGAAGATGTTACTTGTTGTACTTGTCGTACTTGCTTCAGTATGGTTATTACACTGTTCTGTTCCGGCTATTCGCCGTATCGTGACCTTAGGTTCATACTGTCATTCCCGCCCTCTCCACCCAGTTTTGGGGACTCTTTGGTTTTCAGCCCCGGGCGTTGGCGCGTTCGGTGGTTGAGTGCCTAAGTGTCACGGCCGGCCACTGGTCCAACTTGAAATAATCGGTCATTAGTGGGGGGGGTGCAGGGGGTTAAGCCGATCAGCGGGGCGGCGTAATCGAGGTGCAAGCCGCGGTTCGGAGTGGTGGTCACACCTTCCCTCCCCTTCCCCCAGCCCCGGTCTCCTCTTCACGTGAACACCTATCTCGCAGTATTCGCCAGGCACAAATAAACACACTCCCTCCTCCCCCCCTCCTCCCCCCTCCTCCCCCCTCCTCCCCCCTCTTCCCCCCTCCTTCCCCCTCCTCCCCCCTCTCCCCCCCTCCTCCCCCCCCACCTGTCAAACTTGGTGGACCGGGTTTCCACAACCGGCAGCACGTGTCTCTCAATCAGCAGCCGCCACGCCGCCA